CACCACGAGGCTAGTGTCACTTATGGTTCTCACTCACTTTGTTTTGGGCAGACTAGAGCAGAAAGTCTGAGCTTTTATCTCATACAGGAGCTTAAGAGGGTTTCGTAATTAAGGTTTGAGACAGTTTTTACTGCAGATCTGACTGAGACTTTTAAGAAAGACTTTCTTCTCATATCCCAAATCTGAAAAAAATGACTTTGATACCTAATAAACCAGCACTGGTGGACGGCTAATGAAAGTGCTCTGCTTTCATGATGTTTTCATGTCATGACTGTGCTTTTGCTTAACGTCGGTCAGTGCAGATCCAGGAAAACGGGTCTGATCAGAGCACCGGCAGACTTTACACCTCTCGCGTTTGTCCTCTGCCTCCCTCTGTTTCTATTCTTTCTCTCCTCCCTCCCACGTTAACCTCCATTTAAATTAAACACCAACCGCCCAGCAGCGTGTGTGGCTTATGTCGCTCGGAGTCAAGCTTCAGCATGTTTCTATGTGTGTTTCTTTTTTGTTTGCGTTGTTTTTAGCATGCATATGTTTCAAGCTCACTATTTGACCTTTGCCAGTGTTCACATACACACAGACATGACTAACATGCCAGGAGATGATTGACATCTTTCACAGCTCTGATATACTTGTAAGAGGCAAAACGCTGGTGGCAGAGCAGGTTTAACAATTTCATTAGCAGTCATAGAAGGAAGTCTCGCTACTGTAAACCTTGTATACTTGTGGGGCAACGGTAGAGGAGTTGTTCGAGGGATGTCGAATCTTCCTGGTGGTTGTTTGTTTTCTTTTCTGCTTTGCCAGTAAAGGAGAACAGTTAGAGGCGGCTTGCAGCGAATGTCTGCTCGTCTTTCAGTAGCGGGTTGTCCTTGATTAAGGCATTCGACCTCCGATTACTCTGCAGGAGCCTGTGGGTGCAGTGAGCAGGTGTGAATGATTCTAACCAGACAAATTTGGACCAAAACATTTTGCCAAAGGGAGTCGTGCCAAGTCAACGTAGCCTTCAAAATAAAGCTAAAATGAAAATTCGCCCACTGAGAGGAAGGATTGTCCTGATTTGGGAAATGTAGTTTGATTTTGCCCCCATCCACCCAAAACATGTTCTTGAAATACAAATGTAATCTAAAAGGTCAAATAGCATTACATGTTAATGTTGGCTTGTAAACTGTAGCATGCAGGCATGTGGGAGTATCCAGGACAAGCCTGAAGGTGTGACTGTACCTGAATACCAGTCACCAAAACATGTTTGACATTTGCACAGCCATTTGATCTGACTTTTGACTTCTCCCTTATTCACAAGGAGTCGCCACAGCAGGTAGTGCTGCATATTTAATTCTCTGCTAATGCAGCCCTAAATGGATTCATGTCTCCTCCTGGGATCGAACACGTGATCTTTCATTTGTTAGATGCACTAGTGCAAAACTATAATTTGTAGGGTTTTTTTTAATCACAACTCTCACTGGAATACACTCAGACAGGTCACTGTCAGGACACCCCCACTTCAAAAATAAACTCGTACAACAAATACGAATCAAATACAAATACATTTTCTTTAAATGAAACTTTCCCAACACCCTCATTCAGTATATAGAATAAGCTTAAAGCAAATAAAACATAATGATTCAAATAACCGTTACAACTGCTGCTTGTCTTTGGCATCCATGAATTGTCACATTTCTTTTTAAGCCATGTGTTTCTTTTGAGAATCACTTGTACTTTGTTGTTGTACTTTACTCTGTGTAGAACTGAAAAATACATGAGCTGTGATTTTACACTGTAAAAAGTAGCTTCCCATTCTTAGCTGTGTCCCAATTCCTAGGACGCATCCTTCCAAGGACCCGTCCTTCGCGGTCTACGTGGGCCTTTGATGAGCGAATAGGTCGGAAGTGCAAAGCTGTGAAATGGGACGGTCTAGCCTTCAGATTTGCGTCACCAGCTGTGTCGGTGGACTTTAATAAACTCAGCCGTCTGCTCCTTGCTCCGTAATATATAACAGGACACTGGAGCAAATTCTCGACCATCTCGCACTTCTGTTTAATCAGTTTTCTGTTTGACGTTTATTCAGCTGTGCGAAAACTATCACCGTCATCTCTTTGTGCTCAAATCTGCTAATCTGCTGGCACTATTTGCAGTTATCCCCAGTAGGGTGATAATTGGTTCACTTTTGTATGACATATGATGGCGTGATGGTTAAAAGCTAGACTTCAGAAAAGCGTCTGCCAATTAAAAAGTCGCACATTGTCTCTGGGATGGGAAAAGGATAAAAATGCTGTGCAGTTTCAGATAAAGAGGAACCTCGAGGCACCCTGTGCTGCAGTTAGCAAGCAAACAAAGTGTCAAATAATTAATCACCTGACAGGTCGTCAGATGATTGGTCATTGTTTATTGTCCTTTAGATGTTACCCCCTCTGCACCCTCAGTTCGTCAGCTCGCTGCATAACACACAGTTTCACAGGAATACACATCAGCACCATATGTAACGAATTTAACCCAGTTAACCTCAAATCGTGTGTGTGTGTGTGTGTGTGTGTGTGTGTGTGTGTGTGTGTGTGTTACTGTTTTCTTTCACTCTTTCTCTCATCTGTGTTTATGTTAATCAGCATTTTTATCAATTCAATCACCAGATTAATCACTTAATTATTTGCAGATCAAATAAAGAAGTGGCACAGCAATGATGAAATAGTCTTTTTTGAGAGCAAACAGAGTATTTATTTTAGGAAGAGCGAGACCTCAAAAAGGTAAACAAGGCTAAATATGGATACACGAATCAGGTTGTATGTGGTTGGTGTCCTAATTGTTTCTAGAGTGTTAGGCTGTGGTGTAGATTTCTGTTCTGATCACTTTTGACATCAGTTGTGAAATGCTTCAGACCGATGTTGTAAGTTTAATTCAGCAGAGAGTTTGCGATTGAAACCGCCCACCTGCTAACTCCAGTGACGGATACACTCTCTCTCCCTCTCATCTCTTGTAACAACAAAGCCAGGTTTCTAAATTGGCACGCGCCCTAAAATAGCACAATGGATGGTTATATCAGATTAATTGTGTTTGTTGGCTGCTCGTGGTGAACCAGGAGGTCTTAAAGGGAAATCCACAGATAATTAAGTTAAAACAATCATTTCTGATTGTTAAGTTTTTATGATTTTGATTGCTGAGTTATTAATCTGTGTCTGCAGGTTTTACATGCTGATGATATGCATTTCTATCCACATAAATCCTTAATAAACTCTTGAAACATGAATGCAAACCTGCATTTTTAGAGCAGTGCTTACCTTCTGTTTTTGGTAAAGTTGACACTTTATTAATGTCATTTCAACATTAAACTGAAATATTAGCCAAAGACATAAAATATGTTATGGCTGCTGTGTTTGGAAGCTTTAAAATCTGCACAAAAATTCCAAATTAGGTTTAATCAACACTTAACAGCAAGCTCATTCAGATGTTAGAATTTAAGTCCTAAGCTAATTGTCCTGCTGTAAGCACGGCCCACCCTCTGTCCTGTTTGCCCATCTCTTTCTTTTGTTGTCCTTTTATTTTACCACCTGTTATGTTTTCATCAGCTCAGTCCATTTGCAGCGGGGTGGGAGGATGGAGTGAAGGAGGGATGGCAGCATGGATTAACTGTGCTGTGTTGTTGCTGCAGTTCACACATTCCAGCAGGACGATCCGGGCCAACTGCCTCCAACACAGAGGCCTCCTTAACCCCCTTCTGTCCTGTCCTCTGTCCTCTTATCCCTCCATCTCCCTCTGTGTGCCCCTAATCTCTCTTCCATATCTCTTTACAAAGAAACTTGTGCTACTCTAACTCCCCTTTCTCTCCATTGCATCACATCCTCCCTCTGCAGACAGCAGCATTGCCAGATGTGTATCATGTTTCACAGTGTTTATTGACGTCTGATCAAGCCCAGAGTAAACCTATTTCTTGCCACAAGTGATGCAAAACATCTCCCGAGTATGCTCACTAATAACTGCTGTATGGTTTTTTTCACCTGCTATTGCACCGCCCTCTAGAGGCCAATTTGTATAATTTCACAGAAAAGAAAAGAAAGGTCAGGGCTGCTCAGCAGAATGTATGATCTTCCAGTGCTTTAGGACTTAATTAGGGAAAAGGATTGACTGATTTAACAGAAAGTAAATCAGTATCTCCAGAAATATTTTTAATCAAAATGACCAAACATAGCCAGTGAGTCTGTTTTTAAATATCAGGAATTCGTCCTTTTTATTGTCATACATGATGGCAAACTGGATAAGGCTTTGAAATACTTGATGGACAAAATCAAAGTAAATTTTTTATTTTTTATTTTTATTTTTAAGGTGCGCCACACACACACACCACTGCGGTGTCGTTATATAACCGACACTGGGGTTAGCGTCTTACCCAAGGACACTACAGCATATGCAGGGACTTCAAATTCAAATTTTATTTGTTACATACACAGTCATACACAGTACTATATGCAGTGAAAATACGATAGCAGTGACTTGTTAGCCTGTGATTAGCGAGAACAGGAATAATAGGAAATAAATAAACGCCTTTTAAATAAAAACTCTCTCTCCTTCTCTTTCACACATATGTTTAATCAGTTTGCTGAAAGGAGAGTTCTGTCGTGAGGATATGACCTTGTCTGATACGCACAGCCCCAAAGGGTTCACTACAGAACATTTACATGCCTCAAGTCATGAGGCAATTTTAGAGCCACGTTATGTTTCGCTGCATTTATGTCAAAATGAGTAAGATCTTTTGTATTATTTTGGCATAGAAACATTAGCTTCAGATTAAATGGATAGCTGGAATCTAAGAACATAAACGTTCCGAAATGCTGCGGTCATTTAAATAGAAATAGATATTTTAAATCATCTATTATGTCTGCCTTAATTTTTCATTGGTTCTGAAATATTGCATGTGGCTCAGCACAAGGCTTGAGGATGAGTTTGCAGAGTAAATCCACATGAACAGTTGCAGCCTTAACTGTTAAAAAACATAAACGTCTGTCTTGATTTTGCAGGGTCGAGTGGAGGTGGAGGCTGGAAATGAGAACATGAAGTTTGAGACCGGACCTTTCTCATACTATGGTATCATGGCACTCAGTGCTCCCACACTGGGTGAGTCCAGAACACATTACTGTATTTCACACACACACAAAGAGCATTACACCAATATCTCAGCTGGTACAGACGGACAGCTTTGCAACATTATTATGTGGCCCAGGATTTCTTTTTAGTGCGACACAGCATGTTGCTTATCATATGTAGTATATGATAAATAAATTAAATACATTTAACAGCTGACTACGTAAAGTTCTATTAGTTAGTAGTATTAGTATTAGTTAAATAGCAAGAAGGAACCACTACAGAGCAAAGTGTAAACGTTTACAGGGACAAAAAAGAAAAAGCATCTAAAAGTACACAAAAGTACACAGCACTCTTCTTTGGCCCGTCCCCCAGGTTCCTGAAATTCAGTCTTGTTTTTAAAAAAACAAAAAACAAAACATACATATCACCAATCAGATTCCTGCACTTTATTCCCACCTTGGAGAGGAATTAGAAGTCTTCCAGCTCCACCTGGTGCACAGTTTAAAACATTACAGTTGGCAACTTCAAAGGGCTCATAAAATACAGTCTGGTGGCAAATTAAAGGAAAAAAATAAACCCGTGAAACTAGAGCGAGGAGAGCTTTTTGGTACCGTGTTTTGTGTTACTGCAAATCGCTGACCTTTAACTTACATTGAAACATTTTTAGCTTGATGGGAGTGGTGTCTTCCAGAATCATAGCACCACCAACATCAGGACACTAGAGGTCACTGAATGTTTTGAGTATGAAAATGATCTCAACCAGTGAATCACCTGCAGGTCCCATACGTTAGACAGCAGTCTAAGGGATGCACCAATGTGTGCTGATACCAGTGTTTAAACATCACACCTTGACCAGTGTTGAATGTTATTCCCACGTGACTTTAAGCTCTTTACCACACAATACTTAAACATAAACAAGCACAACTGATTCAGTAACAGATAAATATGATGGGCTCTCTCATTTGCAGATACCGACTGATATATCAATAAATATGGTGAATATTGGCCAATAACAATATTGACATTTGGTGCCTCTGGAATCTGTGCCGAAGTCCAGTGAAACTGATCTGGATGCATGAACACAGTTTAAATTGTTTATTATTCAAAAATAATTAATGTTATTAAAATTGTTGGCTGGCAGGAGGGCACGTGCAAAGCAGCACGTCAACCATCATGTGTCACAACAGGAAACTGTATGCGTGCGAGTTTCTATTACTGCTTTTTTTTCATGCACACAGTCACAAACGTTTTGTGCTTGAGACATTTTCATCGGATTCACATAATTTGTTCATAAACACTTGGTGCACCTCATAGTAACTTATTACATGTTTCATATTTGAAAAACAAATCTGAAAACTCGCTGTTTGTCATACGTGAACTGCTGGTAAATTAGAAGTAACCATAGGTCACGTACTTCATGTAGCTTAAGCGTTACAAACATGTAACGCACGCTCACGTTTCTCACGTCCCTTCAACAAGAACTATGTCTTCATTGTACCATGTGTTTCTGCACGTATTCAGCATTAAAAAAATAATGTTCTGGGTTCACGGAGGCCATGGGATATCACATGTATCTGAAAGGAGAAATGACTGCAACAGTGATTGTGAAACAGCTTTGTTGATGACTTTTTTTTTTTGCCTGTCACGTTTGGCTCTTTTGCCATCAGAATTATTGTCTAAAGGCGAAGAAAGATGCCCAACGGATTTACTTTACCAAATGGACCGTCCCAGCCTTGCTGTAATGGTCTATTTGATTCACCTTTTATTGTTTATTTTATTTTATTTTCACTTGTTAAATACGGGACCGACTTGACTGGGGAAAAGAAAGGGAAAGAAAAACAGTGGAGAAGAGGGACGGGGATAAAGGGCAAAAAACAAAAAACCAACAAAATAAGCAGACAAAAGAATACATATATCAATCACCTGGATCACCTGTTGAGAAAGAAAAAAGAGAAAACAAGCAGAAGAAAAAGAGAGCAATACAATAAACAACATCACGATGATCTATGGGAATATGACAGTAAATACTAAATATTAAACATTATTGTGCAGCACGTAAGATTGACAGCGCACAGTGTGCTGTGAGGTAGGAGCCAAAAAGGGTGTAGTTTGTGTGTGTGTGAGCATCCGTGTGTACACCTGTGAGCATGAGCGCGCCACAGCCCGTTTTTCCGTTTAAAAGAGCAGGTATGGAGGAGATCAAGACTCCAGACATCCAGAGGCCCTCATAACAGTAGAGACTAAATATTAAACATTATTGTGCAGCACATAATATCGACAGCACAGTGTGCTTTGAGGTAGGAGCCAAAAAGGGTGTTGTTTGTGTGTGTGAGCATCCGTGTGTACACCTGTGAGCATGAGCGCGCCACAGCCCCGTCCTCCGGGGCATGAAGCAGGTATGGAGGAGATCAAGACTCCAGACATCCAGAGGCCC